GCGATTGCCTCCAACCTAAGAGCGATGGCTTCCATCCTAAGAGCGATTGCCTCCAACCTAAGAACAATGGCCTATGGCCTCCGACGTAGGAGCGATTGCCTCCAACCCAAGAGCGATGGCTTCCATCCTAAGAGCGATCCTCCAACCTAAGAGCGATGGCTTCCATCCTAAGAGCGATGGCCTCCAAGCTCAGAGCGATGGCCTCCAACCTAAGAGCGATGGCCTCCAAACTAATAGCGATGGCCTCCATCCTAAATAGCGATTGACTTTTAACCCGCAGAACACCTTTCCTTTGCATCATATGTTGAGAACAGTCAGAGCATGAGCACAGGCAAACCATCAGAAACAGCTCTTGTTTGCTTAAAACTGAGTATACAAATTGTTGATGATCGCTGGTACAAGAAAGGGTTGCTGATGTTGGTAGAATGAAAAAATGGATTTGCATGATGCAAATCCATGTATCGGGAAAACAACAAAAGAAAACATGATGCTAACAGAGTGTGGTTGTATCACTGGAACATCATGAGGCTTGGTGGTGGTTGAATATCACCAAGAAAGCATAACTTAACAAAAACTCAAAATGTCTGTTGTGCAATTTGTTCCACTGCCTGCGGTGAGCTTCTTGACTGTGGGCATGTTGGGCCTCAGCATCAACCACTCAGGTGGAGCCATTCAAACACCACTTGTGAAGCGTTGCAGTGATTGAATGTGGGGATATATTGTGCATGCTCTTTCCGTATCGCGTTCAAACCGACATTCTTGCAGGTACTGGGTGCTCTTGCATGATGTCACGTCCCCCCTTTCCTTGGAGTACTGTCTTGGGACGCCAATTCTCCCTGTTCAGCTCCAGGGCTCCAGCTGCACCTTTGCAGGATCTGGGATGCCGAACCACTGCTCTCTGCTGCACATGATGCAGTGCGCGGCCAAGACCCAGATTGCAACTGTGATGAAGAATCCTTGCCAAAGAGTATTCTACAACGCACATTGAGAGGTTCATGGACTTTGAGGGAAAGATTAATCTGGAGATTCATTAAAGTGGTTGCATGCAGGTCTTCTTGCACAATGTTGCCACATTGCAATGGGTGTCTAGCATTCTCAGCAGAAAGTCTTGTGATACACACGGCGTCTTTGCAAAAGGTCCTTCGCACATTGAAGGGAAAGAGGAAACGACATGCACCTGGCCACACAAACACACTGGGTACCAATCAATCGCAAGGCCAAATCCTCCCAGATTCATGCGCCAATGCCACAGATCGGTACACCAAGGATCCAAAATGCTCGGAGTCTAACTCAACCACAGCCTTACACCAACTCGTGCCTGCCAACTTGCTGCACCAGCTTGGCACAGAACCTGCTGTTTCTTGGCATCCGGTGTTCTCAACATGTGGCAGTTTGGGAGGTCCACGGTTTCAAGACATGTCTCAAACTTGACGAGGTCAAGAGTAAGAGAATGAAAACCAACATGAAGCGTCTCCTTGTGAAGGAAGGCAGCGAAATCTGCAGCCATCTATACTATCTATACATATACAATGAGTGTGTGTGATTCATGTATGTGGGTGCGTATCAAAATAGGGAGACCTCCCAGAGACCCTCCGCAAGAAGGAAAATACATGGCTGGAGGGTCCCCTATTGAAATACTCACCTACTTAGGTTGTAGCATCCCACGGCAAAGCAGGTATATAGGAGCTTCTACTCTCAAACCCTTGGTCAGAACCTTCAGCTGCATCCTTAATGTGGTCAGAACCTTCAGCTGCATCCTTAATGGAATCCTTTTGGCCCCACAACCCCACTCAAAATGTCTCAGGGCATGGAAAATATGTTGCCCTGAGAGAGTGCATGACACGACGGGAGGGTGACCGTGGTGACATCAACTTTCTCAAACAGCAGTCCACGAGGCACATTGACATCTTTCCAGTGAGTCTGATTCACAACAAGCAGGGTAGGGGTCTACCTTCCGTTTGTCGTGTCAGCACCTGAAGCTATTGACAAGAATAGACAGGAAGGTCCTTCGTCCACCTTCTGTCTCGCATGCGCAATGTAATTGGTCGCCAACTTGGTATGCCGAATCGGTTCCGACTGGCATCAGTGTCTTCTGGCGTTGGCTCTAAACAATCATAAGTGTCTTCTGTGACCAGCCATAGGCAGCCTTATGCTTGTCAAAGGTCTCCTTGAAACTGTCCAATAAAAATGTATGGTAGCAATCAATCTCACCCTGTGATGGATCTGCCCTCAGCTGCTGTGCGCTGTGACTGCGGAGGAGTCAATGCTGAACCTCGAAACCTAACCTCAACCTAACTGGCAAAGTTTGTACTCGCGCAGGTCTTGAATTTGCATACCATCAATACTGCATGCCGAAACCTTCTCCGACAAGTATTGCCGTGCACAGGAATCAAATGCTTTGGGCCTGGGGGAAGCAGGCACTCCATAAGTCTGATCGTTTTGAAGTTGCTGGACACCACATCTCTCCAAAATCTCAACTATTCACAAGTTAATCTGCATGGCGAAGAAACAGACAAAGAGAGAAAAAAAGATGGCAGAAGAACTGTGCACATCCCAGTTTGCCGCAAAAGGCTGCAGTAGTATGATACACAAGTACACTTGGCACACCAAAGCGTCTAAAAGCTCATCTCCACAGTCTACGGTGTCACATGAGCAGGTGGGGAGACCTTGCTGCCACGCGGCTTCTGGGGGCATTCCAGCGGCTGCCCGAAAACCATTGCTAGCGGGACCTGGCAGTTGGTCAGTTGTTTGAAGAGATTCCCCATGCAGTTTTCAGCCTAAATCACCTCAACACGAGGAAAACTTTTCATGGTCACCCCAGCAAAAGGAACTGCTGAAGAACCGTGGGTCCACACAGGGTTTTGGGTGTCTTTGAATGAATTGAAAGCAAGTCTTTGCAGGAACGGCCAGCAGAAAAACCTCGGCCCCAGCTCGTAAGCTCTTGTTTTTGAAGAGGATGACCAATCTCGGCACCCCTCCCATCCCTCAGGGCCGCACCCGATTGGTGGGGCCCAGGGGCCAACCGCCCAAGCCAAAGAAAGGCACCAAAGGCATATCCAGCGCCAGAGACAAGCGCTCCAGAAGTCGAAATGGATCCTAAGAAGTCGAGCAAAATAAGTCGAAAAGAAAGAGAGAGAGAGAGAGAGGGAGGGAGAAAGGTAATGCACCATACTCCTCATAAAGTGCACGGCTTTGCCTTTGCAGTGTCACTTTGAGGTGTCTAGAACTAGCACAAAACAAGGTGTCAGAGATTAGCTTTCACAACGGACCTTCTTTATTTTTAGAGATGTCAATCAAGGTCAAAGGGCTAAGGTCTTGTGCACACATGATGAGGACATTGGGGCCATTGAAGCCATCAAACATGTGGTTTCTCCTGACCGTCATTTGTGGCATGCGCCCTTTTCAACTTCAAGCATCAATCACTGTGGTCCATAGCTCTGAATGCCCAAAGCCATAGACTGGCACAAGTGATGCACCAGCTTCAAGGGCAATCTTGACAATCCCTGGAACAGGGACCCATGCAAACTGACAAGACTCTGGCAGCTCGTTGGACATCTTCTGATTCATCCTAGTTGGACGGGCTAAAAGTGCGTGCTGGATTGAAGTTGCAGAGCATACAGATCGTCAAAACTAGAGGATTATGTCATGACTTGTTGAATCCGTCTGTTCCATCTGCTCCCTGGCAATCCCTGGCATCCCTCCCTTTTCACAGCTGCATCTTCGTGCTGCCCATGCCGACCTTTTCGTTTCAGGAGATATGCCACCTCTTGTCGACCTTCGGTTGCTTGAAACAGTCCACCGATTCCATCCAGGACAACACCCACATTTTCATTCCTGGCACGGGAGCGGCTTTTTCGTCTTAAGAATACCGCAGGATTTTTACAGTGATTCCCCCTTGAAAACGGAACGCTCCCATGCAGCTACATAAGCAGTGTTCTTGGCTGCACTACTTATAACTGGATCTTGCGCTGCATGCAGTTTTGCTGCATAGAACAAAGTTGTGACGAAGTTGTGGTTTCCGCACCCACTTTGCATGATAGGATGATCAACGCATGATGGCCAGAGTGCTTTGCTTAAGTCTCACATCATGCATCCAGAGCCTTTGAAATAGCTGAGTCTGGGTGTATATGTTTTTTTTTCGCTCGTACGAGCTGGTCATCCCTGCTTCGCCTCGCTAAGGCAGCACGGATGTTCTTGGCGTTGGCAGGTACGACCCCCGATCGCTGGAGATAGTGGCCAACAAGGGGAAGTTTGAACCTGCAAACATTGAATAGTGTGGGTCAAGCAGCTGTCAGCATGTTGATTCTCCCCGGGTCTCGGCACATGGCTAACTTTATGTCTTCATATATATATATATATATATGTAAAGTACATACAGTATATTTCCCCAAACAGTGTGGACACACTAGGGGTCCTTACGGTAAATGAAAGGCAGCTGATGCTTAGATCGCTGAAGCGCGCGGGCGTGCACAGCTACTTCCTTGCTATTTAGAGTACATTCATGCCTCTCGAAATCCTCGAAGTGCATTTCGACTGCGCAGGCTCGCTGAATCTGGGTGGCCGCGGCGGGTGCTTCTAACGACTGCGCCCCGCATTTTGGTACATGGTGGTCACTGTTCGTGGCAGGCGCAAGGGAAACCTCGTGCTTTGGTGCTTCTTTCGTCGACTTTTCGTGACAGGTGGAAGGGGTCGGAGCTGTTTTACTTTGAGCTGGTGGCAGGTGCAGCACTTTGGACATGGTGGTGATCGTCGAGGAGCTCAGATTTCGTGACAGGTGCGGTGAGTCGTGACTTTTGGACATGTGGCTCGTTTGCAGATTTCGTGGCAGGCACAGCACTCTGTGACCCTCGATGTGCAGATTTCGTGGCAGGGGCAGCACTTGGTGAACCTCGAAGCGCAGATTTCGTGGCAGGCACAGCACTTGGTGAACCTCAATGCGCAGATTTCGTGGCAGGCACAGCACTTGGTGAACCTCAATGCGCAGACTTCGTTGTGAACCTCGAAGTGCAGATTTCGTTGCAGTTGCAGCACTTTGTGAACCTCGAAGTGTAGAACTTGGTGAACCTCGGAGTGCAGATTTCGTAGGTACAGCACTTGGCGAACCTCGAATGAAGTGCAGATTTCGTGGCAGGCACAGCACTTGGTGAACCTCGAAATGCAGATTTCGTGGCACCTTTGTGAACCTCGAAATGCAGATTTCGTGGCAGGCGCAGTACTTTGTGAACCTCGAAGCGCAGATTCCGGCGCAGGCGCAACACTTTGTGCTCTCAGACACTCGCTCTCACTCTCTCACTCTCACTCTCACCCTCACTCTCACTCGCACACACTCACTCACTCTCCCACTCCCACTCACACTCACACTCCTCACACTCACCCACCTTCACTCTCACCCACACTCACTCTCACTCACTCTCACTCTCACTCACACTGGCGCTCACACTCACACTCACCCACTCACTCTCCCACTCCCACTCACACTCCCTCACACTCTCACTCTCCCACTCTCGCTCACACTCACACTCCCTCACACTCTCACTGTCACCCACACTCAGTGTCACCCACACTCACTCTCACTCTCACTCACACTCACACTCACTCACTCAATCACTCACCCACCACCACCGCCACCGTCACCACGATCCCAACTTGTTCCCACCAACACCTCTCTGGACCCCAATGCGTCTAGATCTCTAGACTTTCTGCTTTTTGACATCACACACACTGTTTGGGGTCTCTTGCCGAGATAAGTTTAAATCAATCTTGTGTGCTTCCCTGCTCTCTTTTTATGGTGATCTAAACACTCTGAACACGTGCATCTCAAAAGCATTGGCGCAGCTGTACTCCTTCACTCCTTCACGCACAACACAAGTGTACTGTGTTCTTTCCGTTCAATCTGGATTTGCCCAAATAGATTGATGGGCCCTTCGGCAACCCTTTGCCAAGCAACAAGATTGATGGAGCGGCGAAGTTGCATCGTCCAGCGCCAAGCTTGTCAAACATCGCATAGTCAATCCCTTAGATCACCCACAATCTCAATGTTGGCACTTTGAGCAGTTCAATCGTCTTTTTTTGTGTGGAGTTCAATCGTGTTGTGTGGTTCGGACGCATTGCCAGAAGCTGAAACTTCTTGAGCCAAGAGTCCCAGGGGTAATACCCCGCGTGGTACTATGCAGAAGATCCTGAGACAATTCGGGATCAACAAAGGACTTATGCTGCCTCAACGGTATCGAATTCAGGATTTGGGTAGCTAGCCCAGAATGGGCCATTAGCCAGGAACTACCGAATAATAACTGAGAGCCCAATAGATACCAAAAGAAAATGAATACCACAGGACATGAACATACAAGAAGAAACTCATTGCGGGTATAGAAACTCTGGCATAAAGGAACTTGAAGGTAGCAACCGTGGCATTGCTTATGATTATATGGACTAAGGACCTTGAGCAGGGTAGCACTTGTCGTAAAAAGCTAGAGGGCAGTGGGGGAAGGCGCAGCGGACGAATCAATATCGACGCCTTTTGTGACTGGATAGAGCCTGCGTCATGGCACACCCCAAAGGCAACCAAGCAATTATATAATAAACAACCGAACGGAAAGCCGCGAAAGCTACCAAGAGCGACCAGTTAACAAGGCCACAAAACACCAATCAAAGGTTACAAATGCCAAAAGTCGAAACCACCCAAGCTTGCGACAAGAGGAATAAGTGAACAAAGGCCACCAAAAGCAATTGAGAGCCCCCCAAAAGCCACAGGAAGCTGCAGAAATGACAAAACAAAGCGATTAAAAGCTAGCAAAAGCCCCGAATAAGTAATTAATTAAGTAAGGTGTTGCCATTCTGTCCAACATATCCCGATTCCTGCGTGTTTCGTCAAACGAAAGCTTTGCAATCTTGAAGTCAAGCAATCTACTGCCCCTTTCATAAATGATGTTCTTTTGTTTCATGATGAGCGACGTAGCGACAGCCATATCCGGCCAAGGTGCAATGGGCCCTTACTGGGCCGTGGAGGATGCAGCTCTACTGGCCAGACATATTTCATATGCAAATATTTATGCTGATTCCTTGGCATCGAGGTTACCAACACATGGCACATGGTAGTGACACTATTGTAGTGTCTTGAGTGATTTCGAACCGTCCAAGCGAATTAGGGCAGTGTGAGCCAATTCACTCTGCTGCTTGCATGCGCTGAGACTCTTGTGGTGGATTCCATAACGTGAATCCTTTGCACGATCATAGAAGCAGTAGATGAGCAACCAAATGCCCATTGGGAGAAAAATGTAGTTGGTGAAGGTCATTGCAGTGCCATGCCAACCACAACAGAAGCCTCATGCAGACTCACCCAAAAGCTCTCAATAACAGTCGTGCCATCCGCGCAATGGATTACTGGGGATGGACATCAACGACATCAATGGAGCCCATAGCTGCCTTCCTCAAGCCTACTGATTCCCCTCAAAACTTCGGAACAAACAAGCGAAACGTCTGAACTATGGGCAAGTGCTCAATAACACACCACTTCCTGTTGGGCAACTGCAAATTATATAAAAGGGAAAGCTTGAAAAAAGATTCCGGTGCGTAAGCTCAAATGCGGAACAAATCAATGCAATGGTCAGCCACAGGAGTCCAGCCCCACTGAGATTGATGTACAATAACCTTTGCTGTCATGCAGGTCACAATGCTCTTGAACATGCTTGAACTGCTTGAACCAACAAAATCTCTCAGCAAAATTGGCCACTGTACAATTGTCAATCCCTACCAAGAGTGGTGCAACACTTGAAAGGGAGGGTGAGAAAATGAGTAAGTGCCGCATGCAGTTGCGCATACCGGGCTCTGAAGGGATCCAAACTTGTCGCAAATGATACCTCTTTTGCCCTGGCATTCTTTCGTGGGTTCAGTCTAGGTCCTGGCTTGCTGCAGTTTTTTGTGCCACCATGAAACATGTTGTTGGTAATTGCTTGTGAATCATGTTTGCCCGTACATACAGAGAGAAAAAAATGCAGGTTACACTTGTAAATGTAGCTGCAGAGCCGTTCTCGTTGGTGGTAGTTGCAAGAAATTAGGTTTTACAACACGCGTCCACCAAAGAAACAAGAAACTAAAGCCTACACACAGAATTAAAGCAATAGCAAGCCGCGAAAAGTACTGATCCTCCAGGAATCTACCCTCTAAATTCTCTAAATCAGAAGATTCCCGTTAATGCGACACTTGAATCCCAAGCAAGGCATTTCAGAACCAAACCTCGAAACCTGCCGCTTTCTTTCAAGAGACGTACCACAGATCCTCTCCAGGTGTTCCAGCGGTGTCAGATCAGGAGCGAAGTCCTGTAGCCGATTGTTGCCAAAACCACTCTCGTCCGCAGATTGGCACTTCTTGCACCATTCCTCAGAAGCAAGAGAGTTCCTTTTGTTTGCTTCGCGGAAATAAACATTTCGTGACACATTCCTTGGCCGGTCTGATAAATGATGAGTGATGTTGAGACTCCAACTAACCCTCTAGTCTCTTGTGCAACCTGTTGACAGCGAAAATGGCAATCTCATGCCATCTCTACCTGAGAGCCGCACCGAAAAAGGTACGTCTGGATGAAATAGGTCACCAAGGTTCACCAAATCCAAGCGATAAAATCTTGGGTCCGACATGGCCAAATCCTTCCAAAGGTGTTGGTTTTGTATTTTACAACGGTCCTTGCTTTCAATGTATCACAGTGCTGCTCACTGTCTCAAAAGGGAACGAACATTGGCAAACAGCAACGAGTGTCCAGCCGGTTCCAGTGTCTCATGAGTGATGGAGTCTGCGATAGTCCATGTCTCTCCCAATTTCTATGAAAACCGTTCGGTTGGGAAAACCATTGATGAATTGCCAGATAACAGGTTCGATTTGAGTTGGATCGCAATCTGATCTAAGCTGCTGAGGGGAAAGCTTTCCAAGGGCACCAGGGGCAAAGCATCCAATGTTGCTGCCCTAAGTTTTGTTGCATGCACTTTGGGGCACGGCCATGTCACCCGTCCAACTTGTATTGAACATTTGCCTAATCTGTGCTCTGAGCCAAAGCTGCCGAGGAAAAGCCAATACCTTTTTCAATAAGAGGGAATCTAGCCTACCCCGGACCAGCTTTGTCATTCATATCAGCCCATGGTTTCATTTGTCAATCATGCTAGTACCTAGTGAAGAAACGTGATCTCTCACTTGGAGTGAGTAGAACTCACTAAATCTCTGAAAGGAACACAGGCAGGCCTTCGCCGAACGCGCGTGAGATCTCGGTTCCCACCTGTGCAAACAGCCAAAGGGTCTGATAGTTGACGAAGAAGTGCTGACCTGGCCGAAAATCATCTCTAAGCCTGGAATGAGTCGAAGCGTCAAGCAGTTTCCCTCGTACTTCGTCTGAAGACTTTTTTCTCTCGCGCTCAGAGTCTGAGCTTGTTCTGTGGCTGACAGGATCCTTCCGAGGCTGGTTCTTCGCACCCCAAATCACCTGTGGACCTTCTGGTAGCATAATCAGGCTTTCTGAAGAATAGCTTTTCAGAATCTGTTGTCAGTTTGTGGAGTACATCTCCACCAGCTGTACTCGCTCCTCTTCACATCTGGTCTGCATCGAGCCGGTGTTGTTGGACCGCTTGGATGAACACCTTGTGGAAGGGTCAAACTCCATCGTGATGACCGTATCCCAAGCCCTTCTGCCAGCCCAGCTCCGAGCTCATGGCAAGGCATACATCATCACCTTGGTAGAACACATATGTTCTGTCTGATGGGCCATGTCTCCGTAGCAAGAATGGACAAGATCAGGTGATCTTCTATAACATGAACTGTTTCTAACAAAAAGAACAATTGTTGGCAGTCCACCGGCAGCAAGCTGTCTGGCCAGTCTTGCTGTTGTTGTTGTGCCACCAGCCCAAAGCCGCCCTCGGCGAAGCGGTTCCGTAGCTCAGCGTCGGAGCGGCACAAGGAGCTGTCACGGTGATCCACCCAACTGAGCAGCGACAGAAATGGAAACATGAAAACAAAGATAACAATCACAGGTAGCTGCAAAAAGAAATAAAGAAATCTTGTAAAGTTTAAAGCAAAATTGTTTGTAAAAAATAGCAATAAGCATCTTGAGAAAGCGCTGCAGCTGACCCCTGTCTGGGACACGCTCGCGTATGCCAATGTGTCTAGTCGGCAAAAAAAAAATATGTTTTTGGCCATTTCAAGCCTTGTGGCCAAATGTTAGCATCTAGCAGTCAAATGATAAACACATGAACAAGACTCTTCTCAAATCAAAGCTGTGTTGACATGAAAACGAGCTGCAACAAGCTCTGACCAACTACTATTGTATGTCTCATACTTGGGTAATCCCCCAGTCCAGTGCGTGTCCCACGTCAAGAAGGCATTGAGGATGTACGTTGACTGTAAGACCCAACCTGTACCTCACATTAACCCAACCTGCACAAATGGGTCTTGCCAAGGAGTCTTTTCCTACACCAAAACACCAACAAAGCTGAAGTTGAGGTGGGGAACGAAGGTTAACGAAGGTTTCGCACTCTGTGTAGCATGCTGCCTCCTCTATTTTTTCAAGATACATGGGCAGACATGCAATTTGAATTGTTTTGGTGGTGCACCACCTGAGACGTGATGCTCGGTAGGAACAAGACCTTGCCAAAGGGCAGTGCATCGCTGAATAAACGATTGGCTATTGCAATCGTAGTGTGTTGCAGACACGGGGTCCCACGACATGTTCAGGAGGGATTCGCAATGATTTCATGCTAATTACAAGTGTTGGTGGGACTGGGTTTCCCACAGCCCTCACAACGCAGCTATGCAGAAATCATCAGCCAAGCAGCCCTGAAGACTTGTTCAACAAGCAGTTTTCCTTGATGATCAAAAGCCCTTTTGGTCGCAGTGCTCTGCGTAGCTGTTGCAGCACAGTTGCAAAATCTATATCTGTGAGGTACAGCAATACCCACTGTACCCAAATCAAATCATACCTCTTGTGCGAAGCAAACATTTGTAACAAAAATAACATGAAACGTATGATCGAACGAAGAGGGGTGACTTCCTTCTTCGGGCCTGAGAAAATACCCGCAGTTTGCAGTTGGAATCCAGTTTGCCAAGCTGCATGTCAGGAAGCTGCTCGATCTGCTGCAAAGACATCTCCAAAAAGTGCCTTGCTTTTGTGCCCTTCAGCCGCTCCTGCGCTTCCTGCAGGACACCAGGCTGACCGACTCCTGACTTCTCTGTAACAGCTTGAATTCTTCTTATATATAGTCATTCCCAAGTTCTCACGGAGGGGAGATAGATTCAATGTCTTTCATAGGGATGGTTCCTGCCTTTGAGAAAACATTTGAGAGCTTTGATCTTGTGCCCTGTTGAAATCCGACAAGTCCTGCAGGAGGTGTGCACACGGCTCCAGAAGATCCACCGCTCCGCTGACGCGGTCTAGGAGCAAACCTTCAGTTATGCGGCCCACACCAGCTCCGCAATCCAGCGCAGTGTAAAATGGTCGATTCCTAGGCTTGTGAGAATGCTTTGATTCATAGGAGAATGCATTCATCTGTTAAAAGTTAAGCCAGCTCCCTCGTGCGAATCGTGCACCGACTCGCTATGCCACAGAACACTTGCGAAACTGTGATCCATCCTCTTTCTGCCAGACCTGCTCATGCAAACACGCTAATGCACAAAAAGTGTCACCTCGACTTAACATGTGCTTTCAAGCTCTCACAGAAATAGGAACCTTCATCTTTGTTGGCATGACCATGCTAATAAGTGTCGATTATTGTTCAAACTATATCATCAAGTTCGGTAGGTTTCTGTGGTTTCTGTTCCTATGAAGCTGGATCACTGCTGGATCTCTCCGAGCTTCTCACCCACCAGGTCCAAAAAACGCCGCAGACTCACGCAGGTCCAGCGGAGATGTCTCCACGTGACCAGCCAGGACTCCAGCATCGGATGCCTCCTATTGCATTCGTTGAGAGGGCAACGTGCATAATCGTGTCTTCACAAGGAGTTGAAAGCAAAAAAAGATATCAGTTGCTACTTCCAACTGCTTGATATTCAATCAGCTCTTTCAGCAAGAGATCCCAGGCCTGCTTGGACCAAAACTGGAGCGAACGCTTGTACCACGCCTCTTCTCCAACATGTTTCCACGGCTGTTGCGACTTCACCTTTTTCTCATTGATCTCGCGTGTAGCAGCTGCCCCATCCTTAGCCCACTTAGCCACGAACATCCGATGCCTTTCTTCCAGTGGAGGTACTTGAAGTTCTGGAGGCATGGGCGTCACCCAAATCTTCAGCATGTCTGTGACATCCGTCACGTTCAGCCCGTGGTTTTGTGCTTCCATCTCAACCGCTGCCCGGAGATCCACTCCACACGGACGCAACTCCACTGAGAGGGCCGCCTCGCCGGTTCGCTTCAGCAGCGCAGCTAACGCTCGACACAACGGCTTCACCAGGCGGTGGTCGTAAAGCACATCAGATGCCAAAATCAAATCGAAAAGGCCTTCAGCCGCCAAGTCTTGGGTCTCCTGAAAATTCAAACCAGCGACTGCATATTCCGGTGGTCTGGTGGATACTATGGTTTTGATATGTATATATATATATATAGCAAGGAAGCTACTAGGGCCCCTGGCCATACTACTAGGAGCAAGGACGCTACTAGGGGCTCGTGGCATCGCTACTAGGAGCAATGTTCGCTACTAGATATACAGTATACTTTTCTGAAGATTCCTGCTCGCTGGTGAAGTCAAAACGCAGCACCGACTGGGTACCAAGCCCTTGCCGCCGTGCGAAGTCCGAAGAATTCTTGCGTAAGAGCGGCAAAACCCGAGGGTCACAGTCAGAGAAGGTCACCTTGAATGGGCCCAAGATGGTCAACCAGGAAAACCCCTTTCATACCCTTGCATTTTGACATCCAACGCCTGAAAATCAACCAAAATTATCAAAAGAATATCCTCCTTGCCTTTGCGCCATGTGCGGCGGCCACCAAGCCACTAACCCCACAGCCGCTGCCCAAATCCAATGTACGTGCAGCCCAGGCCTCACCGTAGGCAAAGCGGCGGCGAAGGTAGGCCGCGCAGAGCTGGGCACACGGCCAAATGTGGGAGCCCACAGGACCTTGAAGCCCAAAGGGCAGTGCCTCCCAGGTTGGTGTTTCTACAATTTATCCAAAAGAAGTGGTTTGTTCTTTTGGAGAAACTGAAGAAACTGCATGCTTTGTTGAATGCATTCCATATTCTCTGCAGAATCACTGTCCCACCTGCAGCTGCAAGTGCCCTTCAGGAGCTGCCATGGGAAGGAGCACCTCGCAGACTTTCTTGGGTGCCATAGCCACCTGGAAAGAGGAAATAATCAAGAACATCATGCATGCAAGACTTCACCAGAGCTGGAAAGGACTTTTCTGCGTTCTCTTGATGTTTTGAGCGGCCTGCCTCTCCCAGCTGCAGGTACACTTTCAGCTGTGCAGACCGCCCTTTGGGGTGGCAAAAGCGCGCAGGCCGCGTCGAGGTGGCCCTGTGGGTCAACTGAATTTGGATGCCGCCCTGAGCTGCGTTCAAAGTCCCTCCTCAAAGGGACTGTAACATGGGCCCATACAAGAAAGAAAAGACATCTGCAGAAAATTGTAATTTGCTTGCGGAAGGGCAAATGTAAATTCGCATTCTAAAGAGTGTACTCCAGATGCGATATTCACAAAGTCTGTTCTTCTTGACTAAGCCACCTCTGACACTTCCACTTCGAAGTCACCATCACCCACCAGGCTGCACTCCGGCACCTCTGTTTCCAAGCTGCGCGGCAACACCCTCAGGGCACTTTCGTGAAGGTAGAGCTCCAAATCGCTGACATTCCCAGCCCAGGGAATTGTCAGTCGCAACCGCATCACGGTGGCATAGCACAACTGATCACCATGGCACAAATCAGCAAGTAGGAAAAACAAGGAAAAAAGAGGTGACAAAACGCACCTCTAAGCTCTAGGCCAAAATGGCAGCAAAAGCTAAGTAGGAGACATCAGAGAATCATAGAGAATCGAAGGTCTCCTTAAACTTGTGCCGGCGGCACGTGAGGGCATTGCAATGGAAATCCTCGTCCACCGAACTGCTTTCTACCTGTGCAGACTGGTCACATTCCCTGCACAGCATTGTTTCAACCCAAAGCCTTCCCTACCTCGAAGTTCATGGCACGATTGTAGAGGGAGATGTTGTAGAAAGCCGAAAGGAGCTTCAACATCGTCATGAAGGTCTGGCGGTGCAAATGGCATAGCGTTATTTTCACTGAAAATCATCACAAACCACACATTTATCTGGTTTCGCAATGGTGTTCCCAATCATTCGAATTAAAACCTCTGTCATCCTGCTCTCGTTAGTTTCGTTTTGGGATTTAGATCTTGAAGCCACCTCATCTGCACTGTATTCATTCAAGGTCTCCTGTTCAAAAGGACACGGATGTTGAAACAAAGTTTTATGAACAGAACCGACGCAAAGCTCCCTATCAAACAACAAGTTACAAAAAAAAACAGCGAAAGAAGAACCAACATGTCTCCTGAGAAGATGAAGCAACTCCCTCAGCCGTGCAGGGAGGCTTGGGAAAGTGCAAAGGTCGGGGTCTCGGGCAACCCCTTTAGCAACATGTTAGGATGCCTGTGCGCGTGTCCGCGTGCCCGCGTGCGTGTGTGTGTGTGTGTGTGTGTGTCTGAGCTGCGTCTCACAGTGCAACGTGTGCAAAATGATCTATCTAGTTATATCTAGCTAAGGTGTAACTGCATGTAACTAGGTACACGAGCCACAGGTGGCCGTGGTGCTTTTGGCTACTATTCTACAGCATTGGCTGTATTATGCGCAGGGCCACTGGTGAGAAGTTGGCAGAGCTGCATATTGGAACACGGCTCCTGACCGGCGAAGAAGCAAGAATTATCCCTCCCTTCCACCAAGCACGTTTGGCGACCATGGCATCAGACAGCTACCAGGCAGGGAGCCTCCCTGCACTGGTAGCAGTTTGGGTACCCACCACCTGTTCACACAGACTTAGACAGAAGGCTTGGGAAAGTTTGGGCGTGGAGTGATTCCCTTATGCAGTGTAACCCCTGCAACGGTCCCGTTCAGAACACCTTAGAGTTAACGTTCCAGATTCCACAGTACCACTGAACAGCCCCAGAAACTAACGAGACCTCGGCCATTTTTCATGTCTTGAGCAGTTGCCCAAGTTCAGCCAAAAACTCAGTCGGCGTTTTGCCAAACATCTGCTGACGCCACATCCACTGAAAGCATTTTCGCTTCAGTATCGGATTCAACAACGTGTGTCCGTTCTCCCTTTTGGTCAGAAAAAACCTGTGGACAGAAACGGAGTCAGCAGCGAACGAACCGTGCGAGTCACCCATACTGTGAGAGGTTCACGCATATAACATCATCGAACAAACACTGTCCATGTCTGTGAAGTGCGAATGCGTCTACGCTACATCAGCACAAACACATCATGAGATCCCAACCCCCCACTCCACCCCCCTACCCCCCCCCATGTGTGTATGTCGGGTGTTACTGAAGCAAAAACGACGTAAAAAAGTTTAAAATATTTAAAAGGAAAAAAGAACATGCACAAAACGCAACAGCCATCTATGGCACGTGCTCCCACTACTGTACTGTAAGTATTCCCGCGTCAACTGCGCATACAATAAACTTAAGAATTTATACCCAAAGTATCTCGTGATCTACAGAAGTGTTCGCCTAGGGAAGCACCCCTCCCACTGTCCACGGTCCGAAGGACTTTTGTGGAAGTGCAGCAGAGTTGGCACGATCGTTGTGTTGCACCCTCTGGATATGCAGAGGCATGTCGAATCGTTGGCCGTCTACGCCACATCTCTCTGAATTTCTGCACTCTACTCGCTCTACTCGCTCTACTCACTCTACTGAGCTCTGTCCCGTAGCCCCACCCCACTGTGCTGATCTTCATCTCAAGCATCGTCTCCGCCTTCTTGCAAGTTTCTTGATTCCTCTTGCTCCAAGATGAAAGGATCAGTCGGAAGGATGTCGAAGGCATCGCCTGCAGTCGTCACAACACCGCTTCAGGTCGTCCCGCATCTTGGCCGTTCTTCACTCGGCATAAGCCTGGCAAGTATGGAATTGAGGACGCAAGGAGCTGGGAGACTATGGTCGGGGTTGAAACGAACACCAAAGTGAAATAACCTTCTTTGATTGCCCCAGAAAGCTGGATTGAAATCAAACTATCTACTCTTAAAAACGCATTCTGTGTCTTTTTCACTTGCATTTCTGCTTCTTCGCATTTCAAGACCCGTCCTGGCAGACTTCACAGCTGCACACCTGGACTGACAGCCGTGCAATGGCAGCGTCGGCATCGTCTGGTCGGAGGCCAAACTGCGTGTTGGTGCGAACGAGGTGTTCGCGCGGAACTAGGCCTTGACAGGAGAAATGATCGGAGGTCTTCATGGTGCTTGATGCCACTTAGGGTCGACGTCTGATTCGGTAACCAAACGGTCTGATTCGGTAACTATGACTCGGTAACCAAAAGCGCTGATTCGGTAACCAAAACATCTGATTCGGTAACCAAAACCGCTGATTCGGTAACCAAAACCGCTGATTCGGTAACCAAACCCCGCTGATTCGCTAACCAAACCTGCTGATTCGGTAACCAAAACCGCTGATTCGGTAACCAAAGCCGCTGATTCGGTAACCAAAACCAGGAAACCAAAACCAAAAACATTTCCAAAAGAAGAAACTGATGACCCGGGTAGTAGCAGTAGTAGTAGTAGTAGTCGTCGTCGTCGTCGTCGTGGTAGTGGCAGTGGCAGTGGTAGTGGTAGTGGTAGTGGTAGTAGTAGTGGTAGCAGATGGTGGTAGTGCCACCGATGCAAAATCTCTCCGCGAAGCAACAGGAGAAACGTTATTATCTTGGCCATGATTCCTGCCGTCCGCCACTAATTCTTACTTGAATGAATGTAAAAGTCCTTTGCATCCACATGGAACGTTATTATCTTGGCCATGAACCCCCCCC